AAAATATGTAAGTAAATAAATATAAATAGAAATAAAAAAAATTTAATTAATATTTCAGAACTAATAAATATTTAAAACTAAAGTTTTAGATTTAAGATCTATTTTTCCTCTAAGTTTATATATCGATTGGCAATTAGATCAAAATAATAATTGACAAATAATAATAATTTACTTAGTATCCAGTTCTCGAATAAACGATTCGAATTGATCGAATTATTTTTGTGAACAAATCAAATTCTTTATTTTTAATTTTTTTTATATTCTTTTAATTTTTTATTTTTTACATTATATTTTTTATATTATATTATATTTTTTTTATATTCTTTGCAAATACTCGCAAAGATGATAATCCAAATTATTTCTTTCTTTTGAAATTATCTTAGTAATTTTTATTAATATTCGATCATTTATACATAATTTCTGAACATTTCAATCATTGAAATAACAATCTTGATTCTCTCTTGATAAATCACAATATAATTATTATTATTATTATTATTATCATATTTAGACGATGCTATTTGTGAATTTATTAATACTAATAATAAAGAAGATTATTTGTTGACTCTAAGTATATTAATATTTTGAGTATAATATTTAATACTGCCAAATATCTACTATAAAGAATGTTAATAAATTTGAAGAACATTTTTGAAGAAATTAAAAAAAAAAAATTAATATATATATATATATATTATATATAAGCTTAAGTTATAATAATAATTAATATTTGTATTACATGAAATAGACATAAAGTGCTCTATCTTTGTTAAATTATTATTTTGTTTTAATCCACTTTGTTTTATTTAATTCAAATTTAAATTATTTAGAATTTGATAAAAAAAAACTTTGATAAAACTTTATTAATGTATACTATCTTGTTTCTATGAGGATTTGTATTTTTTCAATGCAAGAATTACTGAAATTAACACTTACTCACAATAAATTTCCATGATATCTTTTAAATTTCATTTCGATGAATTAGTAAAATTATTTTATTGCAACAAAATAGAAAAATAAATTAAAACGATGATTGTTTAGATATAATCAACTTACTAATTTCAATTGTGAAATATGAAATATATTATTAAAGTCAATATTTTAAATAACTTTTTTTGATATCTTCTAGAAAGCGATTCTCTTCGAAAAATTTTGTCCAATTCATTGTCATGTAATTGATATTACATTATGACATCATTTTTCTTTTCCGTATACATAAATTTTCCTAAAATTTAAGAATCAGATATCATGCTTTGATTATTTTGAATATGAAATGAAAAATATATCTGAAATTTCAAAAATATCATACAAAATTATTTATTAAAAAATTATTTTATTAATAAAATTTGCAAACTAAAATTAAGGAATAATTATATCATACATATAAGAAAAAATAATTTAAAATGTTAATTTTAACAACATGTATATTTCAAGTCTAAAATTGGTGAGATAATTCCTATTTTAAATAATTTTCAATATTATCATAACAAAAATTATTACATTTTCATTTTACAATGAAATAAATCCTCTAGTTTTTAAAATTGTGAAAATTTCAACAATTTATTACTATATTATATAAAATTTAATTGTTAATACAAAATATGAAATAATTATATAAAATAATTTAATGCTATTATGATTAATATTCTTAAAAAAATAATTATATAATTAAATAATTATTATTTTCTAATTTATAGTAATATTAAAATGGTCTTTTATGTATGAGTGCGTATAATGCAATATAAATATAATATATTTTTAATAATATATAAAATATTTAATAATTATTATTTTTAATTGTAAACAATTTATTCAATCGCGAATTATGCACAATTTTTATTAAAATATTAACAATTTTTGATTTTGAAATAAAAAATACAGTGAAATAAAATATAAATAGACATCGTAAATCTTCTAAATTTCTACGTCAACAATTACATAAAATACATAAAATTATTTCTCGATAAATCAATCACTTTTTGATATTGTCAAGATTTTTTTTTACTCTTAAATATATAGATTACATGAAGTTTAAAAATAAATTTGAATTATTACTTTGCTGATTTTGAATCTCTTTTAAAAAAAATATAAAAGTTTAAATTTTACAGTTTTTACCAATTTCCATAAAAATATATTTTATTCTAGAAATAATTTATTAAATCGAAATTGCTTTTTTTAAAATTTTACTTTAAAAAATTTAATTTATTTAAATAAAATTTTACAAAAAATTAATAAAATTTTTAAAAAATAAAAATTTTAATAAAATTTTTAAAAAATCAATTTATGACAATTTATTTATTTTGTCCAATTATTTAAAGTTTTTAAAATATATAGAAAAATATAAATAGGAAAAATATAGAAAAATTAGTAAAATAAACAATTTTTTTAATCAAATTTAATTATTTAAATTTTTATTTTATCAATTTAAATTTCTTAATATTTAAATTGAACAAAATAATTATATAATAATTTTATAGTTTAAATAATTGAATTCTTTATTTAAAAGCAAACAATTATTTAAATTAATTAATCATTTAAATTATTTTTCTAATCTAATAGTTAAAGATATTCTATAAAATATGAAATATATTTTTAATCCTTTAATTTTGAAGATTATTTTTTCGACATGAATATTACTATTCTAGAAAAATACATGTTAAATATTTTTTTGAAAATTGCATCATATATATGGATTATTTTATTACTTTTTGTGATTTAAATTTCAGAATAATTTTTATCAATATGATTTTCTGGTTTTATTATATTAATTTTTAATAAAATATTGCAATAAATGAGCAAAATTAGCAAACATTAAAACGTAAAAAGAGAACATACCTCCTGCTGCATATATTCCAGTTAAACTTGTTTCGTATTTACCAAGTGATGTTTTGAAGTTACCTCTTTCATCCATTGCTGTATTTAATTCTGTTGCAATATATTTTTCAGGGCCTAAGAAACCCATTGCGAGTAGAACTAGATCACATTTATAGATCTAAATAAACATAATAGAATCAAAATAAAGTAAAAATTATCTAATAATAAAGAATTGTCATTAATCATAATTTTTACCTTTTCTGTTCCAGAAATTTCTTCCATTTTCCAACGTCCGTTTTCCATCATCCATGATACTGAAATTGTTTTGATACCACTTACGTGACCACTTCCATTATCTAGAAATTCCTATTGGAAGTATGCAAATAATATTTATCAAGAATACTTATATTATATATTTAATTTTTTACATACTTACTTTACTCAATGTACTAAATTGACGAGGATCTCGACCAAATTTCAGAGAAACTTCTTCATGGCCATAATCTACTTTAAATACACGTGGAAATTGAGGCCACGGATTATCATGTGCTCTTTTACTTGGTGGTTCCGGCAAAATTTCAAAAGTAGTAATTGATTTAGCACCCTATAATTATACAATTTATAATGACGAAAATATAAATAGTAACATAATTAATAAATATGAATACTTTATTGTATCTTATATTGTATTTTATCGAAAATATAAAAAATTATATTAAAAATAAAAATAATGTTAACCTGTCGTAAAGATGTAGCTATGCAATCACAACCAGTATCACCGCCACCTATTATAATAACATCTTTATCTTTAGCCATTAAACATATATCTAATGAGGCATCGTTTCCCATTTGTTTCTTTTGCCAATATTCTAAAAAGTTTACAGCAAAATGAATTCCTTCAAGATGTCTACCAGGTATTTGTAAATCCCTTGGCCAAGTAGCACCCGTACATATTAACATTGCATCATATTGTTCACATAATTCCTACGAAATATATAAATACAAAAAATTCCATGTATAAATAAGTAATAAATGTTCAATGAAAAATTAAAGATGTATAATTATAAAATGCATAAATAGAAAATTAAAATTTCACCTTAACAGAAATATGTTTTCCAACATCGACACCAGTCTTAAATATAATACCCTCTGCTGCAAGTAGAGAAACTCTTCTTTGAACAACCTGTTTAGATAATTTCATAGTCGGGATACCATATTGTAATAGACCTCCAATTCGATCATTTCTTTCATAAACAGTTATTAAATGGCCTGCTTTATTTAATTGATGAGCTGCTGCTAAACCAGCTGGACCAGAACCAATTATAGCTATTCGTCGACCAGTTCTCATTTTTGGTGGATATGGAATTATCCAACCCTGTTCGAATGCATGGTCAATTATCGCGCATTCAATGTTCTTTATTGTAACTGCTGGTTCCGATATACTCAAAACGCAGGCACCTTCACACGGAGCAGGACAAACTCTTCCCGTGAATTCTAAATATATAAATTTTATTATATATATTATATTATATATATTATATATATTATATATATATTAAATTATTAATTATTTTAAAAAATACACATTTTAAAAGATACGAATTAGTTTTTATTAATTTTATTAATTTACGAATAGTTTTTATTTCTAGCAATTAATATTTTTTTGTAATTACCTGGAAAATTATTAGTTTGTAATAATTGATTTAAAGCTTCTTTCCAATTTGATTGAAAAACAAGATCATTCCATTTAGGAATGATATTTCCTAATGGACAACCATGGCTACTTTGACAAAATGGTACACCACATTCCATACATCTTGCGGCTTGTATGCGCAATCCTTTACGGACACTTTGAAAGTTATAGATTTCATTCCAATCGGCAATTCGATTTTCAATTGATCGGTAAACTCCCATTTGTCTTTTGTATTTCATAAATCCTCTAAAACAAAAAATTAAGAAAAAATTACATACCAATTTTTCAATATAAAATAAATATTCAATTTTAAATTTTAAAATGTTAGTTTTTAATTAAAACATTGGATTTAAAAAATACTAGCACCTTATCTTATCCAACTTATGCTGTGCCATATCAATATTTGCAATAGCATCTTCAATATCTTTAACCTGAACGTTTAATATTTGAGAACTTCCATTGGATATTGGTTGTATTTGTTTAGTTTCTTTGACTTGTTTTAATGCTCGTTGATATTCATATGGAAATACCTTCAAAATAATTAACAATATTAATAATTAACATATGTGCATTTTATATATAATAGTTATATAATAGTTATGTTTTTTAATCTAATCAATTAATGTTCTATATTACCTTAACAAATCGTGTTGTTGGTTCAGGCCATAACATTAAAAGATCTTGTGCTATTAAAGAACCAGTTTTCTCAACAAATTCTTTTAAAAGTTCTTTCACATATGCAATATCTTCTTGCTTGTTTAAAGGAAGCAATTCTACCATATCAGGATTACATTTACTAAATATGAAAAATTATAGATTAAAAAAATATACAAAAATAAATAATGAAAGTATAGTTTATCCGTGAAAAGAAGATGAATATTTATTATTTGTATCAATTTCTCTTTCATAATGTATTTTAGATCAAAACTTTTAAATAAAAATACATTTAATATAAAGTTAAATTTGCAAACTTAATACATGATTTGCAATAAAATCTCTGAATAAAGAATGATTAATAAAAATGAAATAAATCATCAATATAAATGAAGCACTATTAATATAAACATTATATTCTTAATGAGTTAATAAATGTTAATATATTTCTAGATATCTTCAGATCAATTTATATTTAAAATCGATTTTAAATATAAATATAAAAATATATTTATATAAAAATATATAAAAATATTGATTGAACTTATTTATAAGCAATTTAAGTTTGAATAAAGCAAGCACATATAAAGAATGAATTTTATATATTCCAAATATATTAACATTTTATGTATATATGTATACATAGAGCATAATAATATAATAAGAAATAGAAAAAGCACAAATTATGAAGGACTCATACCTTTTGAACGATCCATCTACATCTAAAACATAGGCTATTCCACCAGACATTCCAGCAGCAAAATTCCGACCAGTAAGTCCCAAAATTATCGCACAACCACCAGTCATATATTCGCATCCATGATCACCAACACCTTCAACTACTACTATTGCACCACTATTACGAACACAAAATCTTTCAGCAGCAATTCCTCGAAAATATGCTTTGCCAGATGTTGCACCATAAAGACAAACATTACCAACAATTACATTTGTATTGGAATTGAAAGTACAGTCCTTTGGTGGATATATAACAACTTCTCCTCCACATAAACCCTAAAAATTATAAAAATGTATACAATATATAAATGTATTAATATATATGTTGATAATCTTTTTCTTTTTTTTGAATAATTGAATTTACTTTGGCAACATAATCATTAGCATCTCCCTCAAGAGTAACATGAACGCCTTTGGTCATGAAAGCACAAAAACTCTGACCTGCAGAACCTTTCATTTTTATATTAATACTACCTTCAGGTAAACCATTTTCACCATATAATCTATCAATGCAAAAATAAAAAGAAAAATAATTAATTATTGAAAGTATATGTTTACATATTTAAAAAGAAATTAAGAAAAAAATTTAAAAATATAACAAAAACCTATTTACTTTGAAATATGATAGCTTAATGTTGCTGCAAATGCTCTACATTCATTGTTAATATTTAACTCAATATCAACATGATTTTTTTTTCCATTCAATACATCTGTGATCAATTCAATCACATAATTATCCAATCTATTTTCTAATTGAAAATCTTGTTTTACTGATCCTCCCTGAATATTTACTCCTGGCCTAAGTTCAAGTGCATTACGTAAAATATTATCGAGCTTTAATGTTTTAGCCTTTTCTATTATGATATCATTGCGAACTTTTAAGAAATCTGTACGACCGATTAAATCTTGAAATTTACGTAATCCAAGATCGGCCATATAAGAACGTACCTAAATAATAATAAAAAAAAAAAATTGTCTTATATGTTTTAACATTTTTTATTATAATATATATATTTATAAATATTTTTAATCAAATTTCGAAGTTTTTTATTCTTAATATAACATACCTCTTCTGCCAGTGCAAAGAAAAAATTAATCACATGTTCTGGTTTCCCATTAAATTTTTTTCGAAGTTCTGGATCTTGAGTCGCAATACCCACAGGGCAAGTATTTAAATGACATTTTCTCATCATAGTACAACCCATGGAAATTAAAGGTGCAGTGCTAAAACCAAATTCATCAGCACCTAAAAGAGCTGCAACTATTACATCAAATCCAGTACGCATTTGACCATCTGCTTGTACAATGACACGTGAACGAAGATTATTCAGAGTTAAAATTTGATGAGTTTCTGCAACTCCTAATTCCCACGGTAATCCAGCGGATTTTATTCCTGTCCAGGTACTAGCACCAGTTCCACCATCATGACCAGATATTACGATATGTTCTGCTTTACCCTGCATAAAATTTAAATAAAAGAAAATGTAATGAGAGTTGAAAAACGACATAATAAAAGAAATACATATTTTATTAAATATAATTATCTTATATACTTATTTATTTATACAATTACCTTAGCTACACCTGATGCAACTACGCCTACTCCTACTTCTGATACCAATTTGACAGAAATACGAGCATTTGGATTTGCGCATTTTAAATCATAAATTAGTTCTGCAAGATCTTCAATTGAATAAATATCATGATGTGGTGGTGGTGAAATTAAACCTACACCAGGTACTGAGTGTCTAGTTGCAGCAATTTCAGCAGTAACCTGTATAAATTGTACTCATATAACATGTGATGATATTTATAATTTTGTATTATATATGCAATACAATTAATTTTTGCTTGATAATTACAATTAATTTACATGAAATTTCTATCTCAAATATACCATCGATATTTGAACCTTGTCTATATTGATCAATAATACAATATTTATTTAATGATAAATAACACTTCTTTATAATAAGAACGAATAAGATATAATAAATTATTTTAAGAAAATAAATATAATAAATATAAAATATAATAATATATAATAAATATAATAATATATATAATAATATATAATAAATAATAATAATAATAAAATATAATAAATATCTAGATTATAAGATTGTATGCTCTAAATAACAATTTCTATCATTGTATCATCTTTTTGATGATTAAATTGATGAATAAAAATCTAATTTAAAAAATATGCTCACCTTATAACCAGGCAATTCACCTCCTTCTCCTGGTTTTGCTCCTTGTGACATTTT